TCGGAGGCGCCCTGAAACACACATGTGGAATCAATCCCGGCGCCCATGACACACCAAGCCTTCCATTCTTCTGGAGTCGGTAAATTGGTGCCAGACCTGTCTGGGAGGATAGCAACACTGGCTCGACACATCGGTAGGCCACCGCGAGTCATTGTAAAGACCAGATATGCATTCAGTCACCTCCAAACGATGTTTAATGAAGTCGAAGGCATGGCGCATCTCTCAGGGACTGATCAACGCCGAGAGCTCTATCCTTTTTTAAACATTATTAAAGTGCAATTAACATAGCGACTTTATTGCAATTTGAATGATCTTGCTATACCGAAAGTAACTACCACTGCCAGAATCGTTTGCGAGGACCTCTCCAGTATGAGGAATTTCGAGCCGATTAGTCACAATGTGGCGTCTCACGAGTAACGTGTCAGTCTGTTCTTGTTTCTGAAGCAACTAAAGCTCTAGGACTCTGTAGGGGCAAATAAAGCATAATGGATAAAGCATTCGGCGTTGATCAATTCCTGAAGGATGCGCCGTGCATTCGACTCTATTCATAGCATCGTCAGCGGTGATTGAATGTATATGTGGCCTATATAGTGACTTCCGGTTGTCTACCGATGTGTCAAGTCAGTGTTTTGCTATCCTCCCAGACAAGTCTGGTACCGATTTACCAACCGCTGAGGGATGGATGGGTTGGTGAGCCTGGGGTGCAGGATCGAGCCAACGTGTATTGCAGGGCACCTCTAATCCCTACGTTACACGAGCCCAAAAAACGGAGATTTATTGGTGGGCTCCAGAGAAAATTAGTGATTGGTGGGGCCATGCTTGATGCAGATGGTTGTATTGCGAATATTAAACACTCAGTGACGATTTTTTCATTCGTTCGTATGGCCCCATCATTCATTGACTTTCACTCGGATTTGCGTGTGGATTCAGCTAGTTGCACTTGAGAATTTCGTCTTTCTCATGAATGGTGTTGAATACGTCGAGTTCATTCTACCTGGAATCCTCACATGGCTGTCGTCGAATGTGTTCACAACACTTCACTACTGTCATTCAGCTACCATTGTAGGAGGCAGTTTTCCCAGATAAATCTAGTAGCAATATGAAGACGCTGGAAGGATGTCTGACAGGAACTGTCTAGACCAGACTGAGACCGAACCGGTTGCTATAATATACGTAATGCCCCTCTTCACTAACCGTGAATTGTGAATTAGTCCACATCCACAATGGCTCAAATGATAAGACAAATAAGTAAGTATTTAAAGAATCCATACAGAGATACACAATTTCCTGCAGTTCAGAGGATAGTCTTCTTGGCTCTTCTGCACTGGATTGGCCTGTAAATACCTTCCGTAAGTACGTTTCATAGTTATGTATGCACATATTTGCGAAATTGCTTTTGTACGAACTGTATTGCGTACGTTAGTCAGGCCAAATACCTCCAGTCAAATGAAATGACGGTGTACGGTGCTATTCTAGGATCGAAATCATCAGTTGTGCTTCACATCTGCTGTGCGATAATATGGGAAACCACGCATTATTACGTCCTAACATCAACACAGAGCTCGAAAAATTAGCAGTTGCAACCACGAAGATTCACTTGCTGAAGAGGGTGAAGGCAATACATCTTCTTACAACACCGACTCCCAAAGAATCTTCTTTAAGCAGAGCCGGCTTGGAACTATAAACAAAGCTAATGAAATTTGAGCATCATTTTACATTACCAAAATCCGGGAAAACTGTGATAACCACCTGTCACTTAGAATGCACGCGCTCTGGTCCTGCAGCTTTCAACTGTTGTTGCAACTCAAAGAAATAAAAATGCTATGGTAGTTGAAAGGACGCTTGTAACGGAGTGCTTAGACGTGGCGTGCAATACACATCTGTTCGTCCTCGCGTCCGGGCTCACCAAGCTTTTCATTCCTCCGGAGTCTGCAAATTGCTACCAGTCTTGTCAGGGAGGATAGCAGCCCTGGCTCGATACATCAGTAAGCCACCACGAGTCATTGCACAGGTCAGATATGCATTCAATCACCTCCAACGATGCTCAATGAAGTCGAATGCATGACCCATACCTTGGAGAGTTATTAATGCCGAGAGCTCTATACTTCTATTTTTTATGGCAGTTACGTCTCTTAGACGAGAAAACATAATTTGATAAACACCGTCTAGTATTAGTGAAGCACTGTTTTTCAAAACGTGCTAGCATAAAAATGTTGATGGAGTCATTCGCTTGAACAACTAACCACATCAGTAGGACGTACTTTTTTCTGAGGAAATATAGGATAATGCCACATTTAACAAAGTTCGACGCTTACATCCCAGCATTAAGCAACCACGCCGATGAAAGCAAAGTAGTTTGTATAGCCCTGCAGGAACTTTTTAACTTATGGTAAATTGGCGCTGTGGTTGGAGGCGCCACTGCGACACACACGTGGAATCGATCCCAACGCCCGTGGCCCACCAAGCCTTCCAACCCTCCGGGATCGGCAAATTGGTACCAGACTTGTCTGGGAGGATAATAGAACAGCACTGGCTAGATACATCGGTAGGCCACCGCGAGTCATTGTAAAGGCCAGATATGCACTCACTCACTTCCAGCGATACCTAATGAAGTCAGATGCATGGGGCATCGCGATTGATCAACGCCGAGAGCTTTATCCTTTCTTTATTTTATGGTAACTTACAATTCTAAGGGTTTTATTCTCTACATTGGACGTTAGAGTCTCTTCTAGTGTGGAATACCTTAACGAAGTGATCAGCTTGTCAACTGAAGTCTTTCCATCATTTGCCACTCCAGTCATGTAGCGTTTCCGTAAAATTCCGGAATCCCATTCTGGACATCTATTTTGCTTCTCCAATTGCCATTTGAGAGGAAGCTCAATTTCATCTACAACATCGAATAGGAATACGACTTCAGTACTTTATGACGGTGCTAATAAAGCCGATTTCGGACATAATTAAGAAACGCCTGTCTTTGCAAATTCCACAGTCGATAGGGTGAATATGCATAATGTGCAGGCAATTACCAATCGGCACTCGAGCGTATAATGCTCTGCAGGGCAGCTATAAAAGATTTTAAGCACGACAGATTAGCAGCACAAGCCAGCTGAAGATTCAGAAATTGAAAAAAAAATCGTCCGCAAAGCCTTGTGCGATTCTCATTGGCGATACTAAAATGGATGTCCGGGTGAAATAGTCAATGCACCTAGAAGAGCAGTCGAGAAGCTGATCTACTAGTTACATCATGCTCTCTTCGAACAATGTCCATCTACCTCCACACCACGTTACTGAGGATGAATAAGTCGTCTTAATGATTCTTTCTTCTGAAATCCGATATTTTACCCCAACGCTCAAGGAACGGGATGGACCATTCTTCTAGGCTCATTAGAATACTACTGTGAAACGTTTGTAGCTTAACATTTCGCCATTTTTTATTAATTCCTCTTAATAAAAAGTGACGTAGATGTTCCTGTGCTGCTACACTTAGGTGAAAATACAACTCTACACGTCCTCTTATCATATTATTAAATCATAACCTCCAATTCAATACTATGCAATTATTGTTGTGCCGCCTAAAAAATCAAACTAATTCGTATTTGCAGAGCGTGCATAGCGTAGTGGTGAGAGGTGTCCCGCGATAATCCACACTTGGCCGTTGGTTCGATCTCGTACTCAGAGCAAACTAAGCTCCCATCCCTGCGAAATCGAAAAATTGGAACCATACTTTTCTGAGAGAATGAAAACACAAGCTTGATCTATTGGAAGCTTTTACATAGTCCAGATGTGCGTTTAATCACCTCTAACGATGTTTGACAAAGTGGAATGAAATGACGCATCTCCAAAGGATTTATCAAGTCCGGACGCCTTAACTTGCCTTTATAGTTACTTACGAAGGATCGGTACTTTCAAGTACACTGTAATAAGTTTTGTAGTCAATTCAGATATCAAGCACATATAACCGCGCAGGACCTGTCAGTACGTCCACCAACGATAGAAATCCGGCTATCCTATCAACGGAATTACGTAGCTTACAACAAATGACTAAAGCACTTATAGCCTAAGTGGATTTAAGCAAATTTAACATCACTGTGTTGTTGCAACGGATATAACAGTCACTGGAACCAGTCAACGTTAATTTGAACGACATTCAGAGTGGTGTATAGGAAAACGCCATCTATAGTCTTTTTTATTTTTTGCTGAGAATTAAAAAACTTATCGCTGATGTCACCGTTAGGTAGGAAACTAGCTTAGATAAAGGTAAAGCAAGGTCCTCGGTGGTGCAGTGTGTAACACGCGATCTCCTGAAAAGAGCAATCATGGTTCAATCTAGCCCGTGGTTAAGTTTTGCAAATATGACAGCGCCATTGTGGTTGTATTCCACATCAACCCTTATTGTAAAAAATTATGGTAGGCAACAAATAAAAGGTTAACATTAAACAATTTATATTTCTTGTGTACATCTTATATAGCATAGAGCTGCTACAAAAGTGAATGAAGTCACAACGTAGGTGACTAGAGTGAGGCAGGAAGTGCTCGTGCTATTGTGAGTCGATATACAAGCAAAATCGACCGACAATAATAGAAAATACTACAAAAACCGGCAATCAGATCTTTAAACTAATCAATCACCCGATCGATACGCATTAGAAGGACTAGCACCAAGTGAATCATCAATGAGGACGCATGGTGGAAGATTCCATGAAAGCAAAACATAAAGTTGGAGGTTCAGTGATCCTGATTTACACATTTGAACACCTAAACAGTAAATTATTGAGTGAACAATGAGCACCATAAGTGATATAAGTGAAAATCATCATAAATTATGGCACAATCACATGACGAGCTTCGAGTAAATGGCAAGATGAGGCGCTAGAATCCCTTTTAACACGATCCCGGTTATTCTAAGGAAACTTGTGTTCAGGCTGAGATTGAAATCCATTTCGGCCGTTTAATAACAGCCAATCACAGCAAATAGCAAGATAGAGTTATATATGTAATCTTTAAAAATGCCGTTTCATATGAAGACTAAGGTGATCGCTGCGTGAGAACGCCCGTGAGCATTGAGCACATTTGAAGGGTCGGTCACCGGTATGTTTACGGTAGTGCCTTGTCAATTCGTCAGATCGAGCGAACCGCCATTCACAACCTGGCCAAGGACACGAGTATGGCTTTTCACCTGAAATCAAAATCCTAGTTCGTCTAGTTTTCATCTCTGATCTAGGGGCAATGATTCTATCTGGTCTGAAAGATAGGAAGTGCGAGGCTGAAAAAAAACGTATTACCTTCAAATAAGAGGGGTAAATAACACATTGGTAGTAACTAGTTTCAATAAGCGCACGACGCAGGTTCGATCCCGATTTGGGCGAACTAGATTTAGCGGTTTGGAAACTGAAATCAGATTCTTCTGGGACCAGGTTGTTCCCTCAAACCCATGAAAGATGGCGCATGCATATGTAGATCTGGGAAAGACCTACACTGCTATTTCAGGTTTCCACAAAGAATCAACTCGAGCATCATTCGGGGATATTCGTAGAAGAGGCTGAAAATCCTCAAGCAGTAACAAACTTCCACTCAAGATCCGAAGGCCTTCATGCAATATAGGTGGGATGGAGTGAATCGCACCCTAGGAATGCTGGGATTGACACAATGCGTGATGGTGGGTCATATAAAGTAAAAAGAGAATCAAGTTATAAGAACAGTTAGCACATCGTAGTGGAATTTATAGGGAACAGTATCGAAATAACTAGGCGCTGGATAAATTTTTTATAAGGAAATTTTGCATAAACATAAGGTCGAAACTAAAACAAAGGACAATGGGGAACATCTGGACGGTTTGATACAATGGCTAAGGAGAAAACAAGAAGTCTGTGCTAAAAATAGAAGTAGCTCTGATTTGATGATCATGTTTTAGGCACAAAGGGCGACGCCAGTTGGTCCATTCGAGCTTGTATTCTGAGTTGCTGCAATTGGGTTAAAGTCTTCGAGTCTTACGTTGTTGTATGTATAAGAGCTTTCCTTTGTTAGTTGATCATAGGTTTTTCTTTGTTATAAGTGACCAATATTCTCCATCTTCCCTGAAGCCATTCTTATGTTGGTATTTCCAGAAAAATATGATAGATAATCAGGAATGTATAAAGTTCGGGTAACTGCCACGTATAAAGAAAAACGCACCAAAACCTACCGGTATGTGTCCTGTAATGCGCTTTAAGGTGACTACTCTTTGTGTAGACTTTTCCACAATGAGGATGAGAGCAGTGATGAAGACGACGATCACGTGGCGATTCAGAGTCGGCATTCGACGAACATGGTGACGGCTCGCATATATCGTCAACGGCCGCAGAATCCTGAAAACGTAACAAATAGAGCACCATGAACTAGCACGAATAAGAAGATAGAACAACACTTTTGCTACACACTAACTTGCATAGAGTCAGAGATTAAATAGTGGGTTTCTTTGTTTCGATTTCAAAATATCTTATTAGAAATAATGCGACGAATTCTGGAAACTTGACAGTAGAATGCAAAAATTAACCCCAGATTTTCAGGATACAGTGTAACTAAAAATACCGAAATAGGCGTTATTCCTAATTTCAGATTCTCAGAAATATAAAAGTATTTAGTAGTGGGAATAGCAAACAAAGTTGTAGGTGCATTGGAGATGCACAGTATTTTGTTTGAACATTGATTTCATCGCGGCGGAAATCAATACGCGTATGTCGCGCGGCGCTTTGTTGTAATCGCATCGTAAAAAAGTCGCACAAAAAAAGGAAAGATTTCAAACCTGGCTTTCTTCTTCCATTTTCGTCATTTCGAGTTCACCTTTTGCGTCGGCCATTAATTGTTGAAAGACATCTAGTTGTCGCTTTACCAATGCGATCTGATCACGAATTTTCTCCGGATTGATCACTCCTCTCTCATCTGGCTGCACCGCCCTGCAGGACGCTGCCTTAAATCGCCATCTACTTAAAATAACTACCAGTTATAACAATTGCTATGTGGAAAGTCTTTAGGGATAACCCGCACTGACTATTCACCTCGCTTGAAACCTTATATAGTGAGGGACAAATAAGTGGAAACTGGGTACTTAATTAAAATTCTTAAGTAATCGAAGTGAACCCACATACAGAAAATGTTCCCGTTTGGGGAGGCCCTCGCTACTCATGTGTTAAAAAGCCTGCTCACACTTTTTTACTCTGTAACTGATTCATTACCATAGGAAATGGTTATACTAAAGGACTTATAACTCAATATATTGTTCTCACAGTGAGAGTATAACTCTATAACTTATCTATAAATCCTAATGAAATCGAGGGAGATGGATGGAACGTCCAGATTAAAAAGTGGATCAAGTTGTATGGTTTTTATTTTCAAAGTTGTACTTTCTTCATATATGGTACAAGACATAACTTTGACAAACTTCACTGTTAAGGCTCGAATTCGAACAATGACTACGTTACCGTCAACTCTTCGAGTTGTTTTTGGAGCGTTTCAGGATTCAGATTCTGGTAGACGAAGCTGTTCACTGACGACGAAACCGAACTGGGTAAATCTGATGTATCGCTTTGCACGTGAACGTTAATCGTTAATGGAGACGACATCGCTGCAAATTATATATGCCCTCATAAATGTCTTCAATAAATACTCAATTTTTCATAAACGACATAAGTATAGGAATGACAGTAATAGTTCATACTTGGAACCCTACCAACCACCTAAATTTCTTCAGCAAAGACCGGTAGAATCTCTCAGTCTTGCCAGGCTTGCCTGATGTACTTCACTTGCTTGCAGGAGTTGAAAACGTTACCCTCTGCATTAAATTCGTCCCTTTTACTCTGTTCGATGAGAAGAGAGCCATAATCTTGTTACTGTTCTTGAAAAAACATGGACCTTATTTGCTGTAAACTACCACTTGTCGGTGTATGTGGCGTAGTGGTTAAATATGCTTAGTAATGCGCATGGCTTTTGGTTCTATCCAGTGCCGTTGGCTAACCAAGATTCTCATTTTTACGGCGTAAAAAATATATATATCGTTAAATCCCGTTGTTCTCCAAAAGAAGCTGGCTTGATATGTCATTAGAGTATATCTTTCTATAAAACTAGTATGCGTTAAATCACGTCTACGATGACTAAGTGAATTGAGTCGAATGCACAGAGCATTTGTGATGGATAAACCAACACCGAACACTTTATGCGTCATTGTTCCACCCATTATCACCATCCTCTTTCATGTACTTCCCACCCATTTGGTTATCTCTGTTGACATAATCGACATGCAAGATACAGATAGTATGCCCAACTCCTGAATCCATCTACGTCTCAGGTAAGCATCCAAGCCTTTTTAATCGACTCTCAAATATCCCGCCTTCATTGAGTGACCCTCTAGCCAGTTTGGGACACACCACCTGGTCTCGCTAATCGGATGCTCAACACTGTTTATGCAAGAGAAATCCGTTAGATATAATATTACAATAATAATGATAACAAAAAATTTCCGTCGTTGTTAATAGGAAGTTTTATAAGGCTTCTATCTTAAACACCGTACCTTCAGAATATCTGGCTTGCGGCCTCATCGGGCTTGTCGAGCTCTCCATGAATTGGTCTTCCATTTCATAAGTTTCTTCCTGTTCACTAAGTGTGCCAAAATTTCTTCGATATCGATTCGTTGTCAAATCTTTAATGAATAACATTACTAAGAGTTCCACACGTCGGCACTGTCCTTCGAATCTCTCACACAGAAAAAATGCGCATTCATTTTTAGAGTGTTCATTGTGGTGACAATCAACACGTAAGCCTTTCATTTTGCTTAGGAATTTTGTTCATACCGTGAAAAAAATTTAACCGTCAAAAATACCTTGAGTGGAGCTAGCCTGTACAAATTTAATTGGTACTCGATGTATTTTAGTTTCTGACGAGTATTCGTTGGAGGAATTGCGAAAAATCGGATCGTCCTTAAGAAGTGGACTATTATTACTCTTAGATTTGCGATTCTTCACCTTTATTGATTTTCATCTTTAAAAAACTTTTGAGACGTAGAAGATTCTTAACTCTTTTATTTACTGCCTTTTTTTCTTCTTAGTGGCAGGGTATGTTTCGAATTATAACTCGTATGAGATGCTGAGATATTTGCAAAACTCCGGACCACAGGTGTATGCAGTGGGGAACGAACACGCGCTTTTGTCCTTACCGGTGAGCAGCGCGTGTTCGTTCCCCACTGCATACACCTGTGGTCCGGTGTTTTGCAAATATCTCAGCATCTCATACGTAGAAGATTGTCTTAATTGCGTTAAAAGATTTAGCTCAGCCGAATTTCGGTAGGTAAACTTTACTGACATTCAGTATGTCGGATATCCTGTAACCGCTTCGATGCGTGGGAGTTCCATGAGGGTGACCAGAATGACTTTTTGGAGACACCGGAGCAAATGCACCTGAGAAGAAGTCTTTTGTTCATCCATACATTATACGATAGAAAATGAAATATCCGGCGTTCATAAATCTGTTATGGAATTTTTATTATGCAGCATGCATTCGACTTGTTTCATAGTAACGTAGAGGTGAATGACTACAGATTTTGCCTATAATCGCTGCATTAAGCCAATAACCCTCTCCTACCAAGCAAGCTCTATAGTAATTTGTTGACCCAAAGGGATAAAGTACTCTATGAGTCCAAGGCACAGGGTTGAACCAATTACCATATATGTAATACATGGCATTTTTTACCACTGTATTACACGTTTCCGCGTAGATTTTATCCATTTCTCACTTAGGTTGACCTCACAAACATGTCTGGCCACCTATGTGAGTGTAGCTGCAAGATGACGAATCGAACAGATGAAGTAATCATTTAAATATCCAACTTATAAATTGGTCGGCTTTACATTCTTCAGTAAATCCTAATCTAATATGTATTTACTTTGTTTCGCATCTGTAGATAATAAAAAACTAACACGGGAATATCACATGGTAACCAGAAGTCGCCGAAAAATTTATTTATTTGTGTATTTAGGCGCGTTAGAGGTTAGAAATGTAGCAACAAAAACCTAGCCGTTGCTTCGATCCCGTACCTCTGGCTGACCAAGCCTTACAACCGTTTGTTGTGGGCAAATTGGTGGCAGACTTGTGTGAGAGGATAGCAGTACTACGTTGAGAAATCGGTCGGCCACCTCAAATCAGACCAAAGAGCATTCAACTTTCTCTAACGATGCTTGATGAAGTCGAATACACGCCGCATCCCTCCGAGATTGTTCAACGTCGAAAGTTTTATCCCTTAACTTTCTATTTATTTAAGCAACGGCTCTCTGTTTCTCAGTGACTTTGCGCGTATACTTACATCATCGGTCTCCGGAAATGGAGGAAACTCCGCCCGTCAATCATTCACGAGAACAGAGTTCCCACGCCTGCTAACTTGTTCGCCGATTTTAACTTTTATTTTCTTTTCATGCCAATAAAAAATAAATAAATTAACTCACTTTTCATATTAAGGTCTTGCATTGCAGCGCCGAGTGCTGTTGTTGGCGTTTGAACACCAGACATGGACGAGAATTGTTCTAGAAGTGTTACCATGATTACTTAAATAGGTGAATATAAAGTGTAGAAAAACAAATCAACCACGCGATCGACGAGAAGAAAAAAGTCAATCAACTGGAAAACTTGCTAATTGTCGTCACCTCCAACGAAGAATTCCTTCTTGATATTTTCCAGCCCGGACAAAATTGTTGGCAAATTTCTCTGATCTGAGAACACCAAAGGAGATGAAGCAAACGGTTGTCGGCTACGGTATGGCAGAAATGCTGAAATCACGTACTTTAGCCGCCTTACTTATCAAGAAAAGTTCTGCATTGATGGATTGACCGTAACCAGTATTTTGGAAAACATTTATTCTTATTTCTACCACTTCCTATACACATCGTGCGAATCCTGGCCCTTCCTTCATTCGATTCGCTACCGTGCACCCGTTACCCACTAAGGTCTTCTGGTTCGCGTTCACGTTCCACCGCCACTTAACAACCTTGTTTTTTAAATGAGTCGTTGCATGCTGGTCGAGTCGTTTCTCCCTAGAATCCTGAGATAGCCGTGGTAGGGCATTCTAAGATATTCACCACAAGCAGTCGTCAGGCTTTGTGACTCGAATGAAGCTCATCTAGGCAATTCCTCCAGCATTTTGCTACTAACGGAGGTGTAGGTGGTTTGGTAGGCTCTGTAGGTGGTGTAACGGCGTAGAAGCAGTTGGTTTATCCCAAAGTACCTATAACCTATCTGCTTTCTGTGCCCCTATTTTGGAAATACCTAGTAAAATTAAAATTTTTTTTTTACACTTTTTCCATTGACGATGTTCTCATAAAAGGGAATATTGTCAACTCAATTCGCATTTGTCGATTTTCTAGACGACTGTGCCTCTAAACTTAGCTATTAGCTGTTATTTATGTTATTCCAACTGAGGCCACCACCTTTTGTTATTCACTTCAATGACCTGACATTATTAAAGAAAAGAAAAGAAAGAAAGAAAGAGAGAGACAGAGAGAGGAGAAGTGTAGAGAGTAGAACAGGAGCATTCCTCGTGCACTTCCACCGCATCAACAAACGACCGTTGAACGGTAGCGTTCTTATTTGAGAACGGAAAGTTTTCTTCGGCTAATTCGCTTGATGTCTTGTCACCAAGTTCTTGTCCGTCATAGCGATAGCCACACGCACCGAACTGACCTCACGCCATTACGCTACACCACGCAGAGAAGCCTTGGTCGTTCTCCGATGTTACCTGATGTTATTGTTTTTCTATGTTCTTTCCTCTTCGTTCTTCGAACATTTTTCCACCCTTTTCTTTAGACAAGACCATTTTCACTAGCTGTGGAAAACATGAGAAAATCGATTCGGTGGTGTAAAGATTCAGATTGCTTCAGAACAATTTCACCTGAATCATTTATCAAGGAAATCATGTCTACGTTACTTGACTCGTCATCACATTTACTTTGCGGATCCAAGCAC